GGCCCGACATTGCAGCCCCGACTCGGAGGAGCCCCTCGACCCGCAGGCGTCCGGGACCCTGGGCGCAACCTCGAGGTCGCCGAAGTCGCCTGGACGAGTCCCCCCTTCCTTCCCCTCCTGGGATCCGGGCTCGGGGACTGCGTCAGGGTCCTTGCGTTGGATGGGGTGACCCCCTGGCCCCGGCGTTTGGGGCTTACCTGGAGTGAGGCTCACTCTTTATGGCAGAGCAAAGCCACGTTAACACCAGCTTGAGGAATAGCTTTGGTGTCAACGATTCACTAGTGCGACACATGGCCCCACGTGTGGAACAGACCTGGGGCCAGAACTTTTGAAGTGTTCCCACGAGTTGTTTCCTAAAGTTTTTGTTTCTAGGCAGAAAGCTGTGACCAAGAGAATAAATATCACAAAGCTGCCTCATTTGAATCTTGAAAACTTTTAATCAGAAAACTTCCTCTTTGGAGAAAAGTTAGTATTGAGAGTAAAATTCTTTATGCCTTGTTCTGGGTTTCTAATTCGGGATTCTTTTTATTCCACCTTATTTCTTCCGTTTGCTTTTTCATCTGTTGAAATATTTTCTGGGTTTGGAAACTGATAAGGTAGAATTTTCCTGGAGACTAATTTAGTAATTGGACAAGGATATTCGGTTATGCTTTGAAAGCTAAAATTTCTAGAGTTTAAAATATCTTGAAGTTAACTAGTAAATTAAAGCTGTCCCTTTTTTTTGGTTTTTTGAGACAAGGGTCTCACTATATAGACTGACCTGGAACTCACTGTGTAGCCTAGGCTGGTCTTGAACTCACGGCGATCCTCCTGCCTCAGCCTCGAGTGCTGGGATTACAGGGTGCGCCACCACGCCCAGCACTAAAGTTGTCCTTTTGAGAAGACCATTGCCTTTATTCCAAATCCATTCTTTGAGTGTCTTTATTTTGGGTTCACATTTTTATTTGGAGGGCTTACTCCCTTGCTTGTGAACTGCATATTTTGAAAGTAGACTCACAATATGAAAAGGGCATTTACACTTTTCCCCTTAATATATTGTAATGTGGACCAGGAGTATGACTTTATATGTTGAAAATAATTTAGTAATTTCAGTACTGTAAGCCACCTTAGAAATAATAAGCATTCCCAATGTCAAGAAATTCAGGTTTACTGATAGTAAGGGATATGCCAGATTAATACGGTGCCACAGACACAGGAAGATTGCAATCCTGATTCCTAATGCATTCCTCTTTGTTCATTTGTTTGTTTTGCAGTACGAGGGGTTGAACCCAGAGCCTTTGCCCTGAGCTACATCCCCAGCCCTTTTTTTTTTTTTTTTTTTGGTACCGGGGATCGAACTCAGGTACTTGCATTTGCAAGGCAGATAGCAGAACCACTGAGCTAAATCCCCGGCTCAATATTTAATCTCTGCAAAAATTCTTACTGAGAGTGCAGCTTTCTTCTTTCCTGTGTGGGACAGTTGGAAACATACTCTGTTTCTCCGTCAAATATGAGGTTTTTCCCCATGCCAAGTAATTCTCCAGCAGACAGCGACTGATGCCCTATGATTCAGTTCACTTCTGATGCTATCAGAATTAGAGTTAGATCCCTGAGCTGATGGCCTCGTATCTCTCAAGACTGCCCCTAACTCTCACTTCAGAGGGTTAATAGTACTACCAGCAGTACTATTACTTTGTTGGTGTGGCTCACAGAATTCAGGAAAATGTGTTTAGCCTTTTGCTAAAAAGGATGTTACAAAGAATGCAGATAAACAACCAAAAGGAGGAAGAGATGTGCAGGGCAAAGTACGGGGACAGCACACACCAGCTCTCTGGACCCTCACTTCTTTAGCAACCTAGAAGCTCATCAAATTTCTTTCCAGAGTTTATTAGAGATTAATTTCCACCACCCTCCTCCACCCTTTTCCCCTTCCCCCCGGGGTCTGTAGGTGAAGCTGAAAATTCTCATCTTCTGATCCCCACTGTATTTCTGATGATCACTCTGCCTCTAAGGGCCTTCGCATTGTAAATACTGAAGTACCCTTTTCTTACTGGAAAATTAAAGGACACAAGGAGGTCTGTGATAGAAATTGGGCCAAGAACCAACTATCTTTAGTATTCTATCAGAGAGCTAGAGGTAATGCTTAAAATCCAGTGGGTAATGATGCAGTATTTTTGACTGAAAGCCAATTCATAACCTTATTTCATGGTATTGGTGTTTGATCCCTTTTGGTTGCAAGAAACAAAAACCAGCTTGGACTAGTGCTGGTGGGTGTGGGGGGGTGGATACTAAACTCATAAAGAAAAAGTAGTGTTCTAGGCTGGTTGCAGGACCTAAGATAATTGTATTCATAGCTGCCTCTGCCTCTCATGAATTGTGGCCTCTACTTTATCCCAGTCTGTTCTTTGTCTCTTCTCCAAGGTGTGGAGGAAAAAAAAAAAAGCCTGTTTATGAAAAAATGACAAAAGTACCTCTCTTCCCTGAAGTCCTGCAGCGTTTTAAGTGTTGAGGCAATTTAGGTCATGTGTCCACCAGTAAGAATCGCCACGAAGGGATGAATAAGCCCAGTCTCATCTCTAAATCCTTGGCTAGGGAAGTAAAGTTGATGGGTGGCCCTCCCACAGAGGAGCATTTCCACAAGCAGAGTGCTTTCTGGGCTGACAAAAAAACTATAAATAGGGCTATATAAATAAATGATCTGGGCTGTATATTTAATCATAGTAAGCTAGTTTTAATAAAACTGTTAATTTTCCCATATCCAGCAAACATGGAAGCTGTCAAATGGTCTCATGTAGTCAGAATGAAGTTAGTACTGTTTATTCCTCCTAGAAAGCACCACATGGAAAGCCAAATTACCTTCCAAATTTTGCTTTGGTAAAGTGAAATTCAAGTAGAGATTTTAGTGAATGCTTTTAATGATTGATGTGCTCAGTCTGTAAGAATATTATTTCCAAGTTTCTTGAATACTAATCAGACTTCTTTGCTCTTTTGGAGATGGTTTTCCTCCCTTTATAATCCAGGCTGGCCTTGAACTTGCAATATTTCTACTTCATCCTCTCAAGGGCTGGAATTATAGATGTGTACCACCCTTGACACTTACTTAGGACAATGCTAGCAAAGATTTAACTCTGTAGATGTATTTACACAGAAATTTTCACTTCCTTAGAACTTTTTTGAATGATTTCCTGATATTTTGAAGATTAAATTAAAACCTTTGATATCATCTCCAAGTCCTGGATTATTTGGTATTTGCCCATCCATCTCTTTAACCTCATGATGAACAACTCTTCTCTCTGCTCCTTTCTCTGTGTGCCCAAGATCATCTTTTAATTCTGGGAATGTTCGGGGCTTTCACATTGAGCGGCATTACCGGCCCTTTGTATATTTTGAGTTTTGCAAATTTGCCCAGACTGGATTCGAACCTATGATCCTCTTGTCTCAGGCCCCTACTGTTCTGGGATTACAGGTATGTGCCAAAACACCTGGCTAGAGTGGTGTTTTTGAATGTTGGCAGTTAAATATAACCACCCAAGTTTGTTTTGTTTTATGGTGTTTGCAGTTTTATGGGGATGAAACCAGGCCCTTTGTACTGAATGAAATCCCTTGCCCAATTTTTATTTTTTATTTTGATGTAAGGTCTCACTAGGTTACTGGGGCTCAGTTGGGATTTGATGATCATCCTGCCTCAGCCTTCCAGAGTGCTGGGATTACGGGCATGTCACACCCTATTCCAAGAAGCTTTCTAAAAATATCTATTCCTGGGTTCTGCCATCACCAGGTCTGATGTAATTGGTTTGAATGGAGCCAGACACTATTGACTTGCAGCCAGATTTAAAAATCACTGACATAGGTCAGGGGATTTAGCTCAGTGCTGCTGTGCCTGCTTGGCAAGCCCAAGGTCCTGAGTTCAATTCCCCGTACTAGGAAAAAAATCACAGATATAGAAAACTGTTACTTGACAAATGCTCTGCCTTTCCATTCCCCCCTCCCAACCCTCTTCTAAGAATTAAAAAATATTCGGCCAGGTGTGGTGGCACACGCCTGTAATCCCAGCACTTGGGAGGCTGAGGCAGGAGGATCACTGAGTTCAAGACCAGCCTGGGCTACACAGTGAGTTCCAGGTCAGTCTCAACTACATAGTGAGACCCTGACTCAAAAAACC